TCAATACGTGTGAACATTGAATTACATATACCTATGTTAATTAGAATATTTTCGAATATGGACAGAAATTGAAGTTTGAAAGGTGGTAAGTTTAATATAAATTTACATGTACTATAAAGTAGGATTTGAGAATAATAAATAAATTATGAAGTTACTTAAAACAAATTTTCACGTAATACATATTTTTTGTACGACGAAGTACGCTTCAGAGTTGAGAGTAACATTTGATTTGTTCGAGAAATTGTATATGAATATTGTATATGGTTCAATGTAAACCTGCTTTATCATCCATATAAATTTTACGTTTTTGGCCTTATCCTTTGTGGAATTATCGCACGGTTATTATATGGGATATAGAAGTTTATTTTCAAATATACAAAATACGATTCCGTAAACTTTGACTCACAAATTCTATAAAGAGGGACCTTCCATTAACAAAAATTGTAAACATTTATGCCCGACTCAACTTAGAGTTATTTAGCTTGTATAAATGGTTCGATCCCGTTTATAAGAATTGCGAACGTAATAATTAAGATATCTGAATTTATAACACCCGTCAGTTTGATTTATATAATCTACACCAATATGTACAAATTCCCAGACAATATTTATTTTGTTTAAACAAAGCTTGAATTATAAAATAAACTCAATTTGCTACTGACTAAATTCACCAATTTAAAATTAAATCCGTTAACATGACTTAAACCTTGAAACAATTTCTATCGTTGCCTTAGCGTATTAGCCATAGCTATAAACTATCAAAGTTTTAAGACTTTCATCTAATTTAGAAATTATTCGTGACGAAATCTCTGTTATTGGTTTTTACAATGGAAACAAGTGAATTTCTGTTAAAACATAAGAGTTTGCCGAACATAATTAACAATCCAGGTTTGGTGAATTTCATCGAAACCGTACCCTGTACAGGAAGACCACAAGTAACGCCATAAAACATCACGTCATATTTTTTTTGTTAGCTGTAAAATTAGAATAAGTGAGTTCGTTAACATAATATTTGGCACCTCCAATTAAAAAGCTTTGCGAACATCTTCGTCTTCAAATCACAATTTGACACTGATCAAATGTAATAAGAAAGAGTTCCGAGCCAATTAGGGACAAAAGATGAGAAGCGCTCGAAAACACAGCAATTGGACGGAAGTGTTTGCTTTTGAAATTTAGCAACATTATTAGAGAACTGAGTGCGATGTGAACTTTCAATTATTTAAAGATTGTTTATTTAACAATATAATAGTCTTTACTAGAACTAACTCTACAAATTATAGAACTTTTAGATTAAGTAATGAATTCGAAATTAAATTTTTTAAATATTCATGGCAACTAATATTTTCCGTTATTATTTGGTCTGTACTTGATCCATTTGTTGCATGTTGCGTCGGTAGCAAAAACAAAAAAAACTTGTTACAATATAGGACAGATTGTTGAGGAACAAATCATTCAAGCATAAATAAAAGCACTTGTGTGTTCAGTGGGTGAGCAACTCAAATAATTCGATGCCCATAAATGGGTTTTGAAGTATACAAGTAAAAATCTACATAACTGTCTGCTCATATCAAGAAAAACTTTCAATAAGGTATCATTTAGACATTTGAAAGAAAAAAGTGTTTAGGTGGAAAGCTTGAAAGGAGAAGGTGTATGCAGATTATTAGATTCATTGCGGTTAAAAAGCAATACAGGGGATTACGAAAACACAGTATTTAATATAATAGAAAATAAAATAGAAAAAGTACTAAATGTGTCATCTGAGTGGGCGCGCTAGACAAAAGGTCACCTTTTAGTATTAAGACTGTTTTTTTCCAACATATTTGCAAGATGAACACTAACTTCTTGGCCATCCAAATACTTAATAATAAAAAAAGGCAACCCTCAAATTAAATTCAAAAAGCATTTAATTCTTTCTGAATGCAATATAATTAAGAGCAATCCACCACAAGTTCCATATGGATAATTTTCGCTAAAAAAAAGCTACGGAGCTTCATGGCTCAAGTATGTACCTGTTGTGCATTTACACCGACATTCTAGAATGCAACCAACGTCATCGGCCACGAATTGGACAAAGGCAAAAAACGAGACAATTGAGCTAGTAAAATAAAAAGCTTGTGCAATGTTAGAATGCCAGTCGTTGGCATCAAAGTATAATTGTAAAATTAAATAAATAAATGTATATGTTTGAGTGCAGGTAGGGGCATGCATAGCGACGCAATGATATTTGCCTTACAAAATTGGTGGACATACAGACAATACATACATACATATATATATATATATGTATTTGTATTTGTATATATATAAGTACATATATACCATAGTAAGTAATTCAACGGAGATCTCCGTTTCACAATACATGCCGTTAGTTGAAGGGCTATGTGTGAAAGTCAGCCCTTGGAGCTGTTCTATTTAGCAGCAAATTGATGATACATAGCTTTTTGCTATACATACCTCATCTGCATGTAAATATTTACAAGTAATTTTACTGGGATATAAGTTAATGGGCATTTCGTTCCAAAGTTTACTCAGCAATTAAAACAAAAAGTATAACAAATATGTTTACAGGCATTTTACTAACTGCCATATACCGGTGGTGAGGATATCCGAAAATACAGGAGGTCTAGGCTAATATTATGTTTATATTTTATTTGAAATTTTTTTAAATACTGAATTAAAAATAATTTTAGATGAAACTTTTACAATTTTGTCTTGGATGTTGAGAAACATTGTTCAAATGAACGGGCCTACAAATTTTAACACGTCACCGAAAAGCTTATGAATTTTACGAGTAACCTTAATTAAACTCGTTATTAGAAAATGAGAAATGTTATATGCTGCTATTTACAACAACAAGAGTAGTATAAACCTGTATCAGAGCTGGAAAGAGCTCAAACATTCTTACCCACTAACGACTGTCACTCGGGTAGGATTCTTCAAAAATATTTGGAGGAATGTTTTCTGCACTACAACAAAAACTGAAAAAACTAGTGCAGCATATCGCCGGAAAATGCTGAGAACAAGGATCGTTGTAGTTACAACGGTTATCGTAATCCTGCCTATGGGCAATTCATTCAAATATAATTACCGAAGTCATCAAACATAACAATGATGGAACACCCTGTTATCAAATGCTCCACCTCAAGGTTTTAGTTTGTAATATTTATGTAAATTCATACCTACATCTGTACATACATACATAAAATGGTAGTCTACCGTATACAAAGTAAACAGACTTTGTCTAGTACTAAAAACTTTCTTCTTGTTATTTTTGTTTGGACAGACATCGAATACGATGTGTCCCATTGGCGGTGGTGAGGTAGATATTTAAAACTTAATAAAAGATTCACACAATCTTGTGGGCAGGATAGCAAAGGTGGCGCCAACGGAAGCGATTCACATGCAAAAAAAAAACAAATAGGTTCACTGAGAGACAAGCCTGCGGATTCGCGGTTGCAACTGTGGTTCATTGAACTCAATATATGGTATGTAAGTAAATAGTGGTTATTTATTTAGTGTTTTTGTTATAAATATTAGGTTTATAAAAGTTTACAACCGATTTAAAAATACAAAAATTAAAATAAAAACTAAATTTAATATTCTTATCTAGTATTAGCCTAATTCATGTCCTTGACTCACCCGGGTAAAACAGAAAGAAAATAGTACATTGCAAAAATAGTCATCGAATGACCTAGGAAATTCAAAACGATTGTATTCTTTAAAGTGGCAATTGAAAACGATGAGCTTGCAAAAAGTCTCGTTGCCTTACAAAAACTAACAACTTAAAGCGCCCAACAAACACTCAACCAATAGCTTTCCAAAAGTGTAGCTGGGTTATTAAAAAACGAAAAACAGAAACAAGGAGGAAAAAAGAAAAGTCCTTCCTACGTTGCAAGTTGAAAGAACTCAATCCATGTACATACATGTATATGTATTTGTAAGTCGAGTAAATGCTTTCTATAAATTGTTAGGCACTATATGCATACATAACCTCAAGCGTTTTTGCATAAATAATCAACTTATATAAGGAAATATGCAACATTTTTTGCGAAATCTAATATGATTGCAAAATAGAGTATTATATACATATCTACTTTTAGGCGTTTAACAATAAACAGCATAGCTAAATTCGAATAATCAGACTTTTCTTTCCACAAAACAATTGTGATTAGACATATTTACAAATACAGTGTAATTATTATAAAGATACTATACATATGTATGTACATAAATGAAGTCTCAATAATATGGAACTCTTCGATCCTTCTTCTAAATTCAGTATACTACTTTTCTTGAGTATATTTGTTGATCAGCCAAATATCGCAGTAAGAATGGACGAGAAGTAATACAAATTGAATTATCCGCTTCAAAGACAGCCGAGCCTGCATAGCCGGAACCCACCCAGATTTCTAATGGGCGATTCACATACAACTTTCCTCGCTTTGCTTGACAATTCATACTTTAATAACGAAGTGAAGAAAGCATAGGAAATGTTACAATGAACGCGTTACTTTCCGTGCTTTTCTCAAATAAAATTATGGTGAGTGTTGCTTGGCAAAGCGTAAAAAGAAGGTGTTTTTTTTTGCTTTGCTTCGCCTGGATGTGGACAAACTGATACAAAAGAAAATGTCTTAAGTAAAATGAAGCAAAAGTTGTATGTGAATCAGCCATAACTGGCCAAGGACTGTAAACCGTAAGTGTTTCTCGAAATTTTTTAGAGAATGCCTTCTGTCAATATAAACAAAGCAAACAAATTACAGTATTAATATTTCTACATAATATATACATATGTACATAACATACATATATACTCTCACTAGATTTACTCTCGCTAAAAGTTTGTGCCCGAAAACGTTAAACATAAGAAATTTGTGTTGCAATAGTTAAATCGAGCTGATATACATATACGTTTCAATTCGCACATATTTGCAGTTTCAAACATTTTTTTGATTTGTTGTTTAGTCATCGACCGCATTTCCTTATGCCGCAAAATTACTTACCACGTGGATGTAAACGTTCCGGCTTGAACCAGGCATCTGAAATGTACATATTGATTTTTTTACTTATACTGACTAAAGTTAGTAGATATGTATGTGTGTTGGAAATAATTAATTTAAGTAATTTAGCGCAATATAATAAATATTAAGTAGGTGAGAGGAAAGGTATATTATTTAAAATAATTATACATATGTACATACATATATATATAAAATTATATATGTTTTTATATATAGATAAAATTGCAGTATAATATTTAGTAATAATTGCTACACATTACACGAGTGTGATTTCATTTAAATTTTCAAATCAACTATTTTCTATGTAGTCAGAGGTTGCTTGCTTAATCTGCTCAAATTTAAAGTCTTTAATGGTGTTGTAACAAAAACTATAATATAAGTATAATTTTTAAGAAAAAGTTGGGCTGAGATTTAAAATTAAATAGAAATAACGCTGAGAAGCACAAAATTAAAGATCTTTCACCAAGAGGAAAAAATATAACATCAATAAATGAAAGCATGAAAAATAAAGAAAAAATCTAGCGTTACGAGACGAAGGAGGCAGGTGTAAGTGCACTAATTGTTGTTACAGCACATACCATACTATCTAATGTAGGTTAGGTACAGGGAAAGGTGAACTTATATATATTTATATATACATATAAATGTATATATTAATATTAGTAGCTATGGAAGTACAGCGCAGTGTGTGAAAGAGAACCGTACGGCATATAATGTAAAGGCATTGTATATGTATTAATGTAATTTAGGTATGAATGTATGTGTGAAGTTGAGTAGTTTTGAATGCATATTTTGACTTACGGGGATCTAAAAGTGAACAAATCAATGGATGTTGCTTGTAAACGCCATTCCGTGCAATTTCTCCGTTCGAATCCATTTTTCAGCAGACGCGTTTATTAAAATTTCTACAGATTTAACTATTGAAATGTTTTTATCCTTTGTGTTTAAAATATTAAAATAGAATTTGTATCACAATTAAAAAAAAACATGAACACGCTAAAAAGTAGTACAAATACGCATTTGAACAGGCACGAATTAAAAGGAAAATTTCCTCGTCGACTGTCAATAATAGCAAAACAAAATTGTATTACGTCTGCGTTTTCGAATTTTTTCTACGTTCTCAATTCTTTAATTTAAATAAATTTTTACTTTGTCAGATTTTGAAAAGGTAAATAATGAATTTATTCACTTTTTTGTTGTTTATGTGTAAAATTATTTCGGAACGTCACCATTTATCGGTTTGTACGCATTAAAAAAATAACAAAATATCCGCTATTAGGTTTCGCTGCACCAAGTCGTCTTGCAAACTACCTCACTCTGAGCTGAGCTGCCAACTCTCAAGTAACTGAATTCTTCGCCTTTGTCCTGCCAAAATGTTACCACTACCTGCTACTTATAACAACAATGAGCCCAGGAAAGGCCTGCGCATTGCCTGTGCGTTAACAACGAATAACATTCGCTTTGGAGACTCTCCAGATTCGACGTACATTTTTACCTATTTGTTTATATTTTACTTATTTATGCATATATGTACATATGTTTACGTTTTATATACTATATGTTTCAAGACCCGGCGCCTGCTTCAGTTAATACCCGCGATGGATAACCGCGAAAAGGCAGGGCATTTGAACTGATACAAAGTAGACAGCAGGGAAGTGAAAATGCTTCCGATTCGTTAGTTGTTTTGTTGTACTTAAGTTCGGTTGATTGGGCACTCGTACAGTTTGTGGCAGAAGATTTGCCTCTTTATGTCTACAATATCGATTTTCAACTAGGGTATGTAGAGTTTTCGCTCTTAGTGCCGTTTCAGACAGGGACGCAAAAGAGTCTCATACCAGTTTATTGTGGGCGAGGGGACGACGAGGAAAGACGAAGGGACCGTGCCACTCGTGTTCGGGTGGCACGCTTTGTGTTCTTGTTCGTAACAGCTCGCTGCTACCCTTTTCAGCATTCCTTTTCACTTTCAAATCCTTTGAATGGTTGCAAGAGCGCTCGGTTTCAAATGAATTCGATCGCAAATTTGAGTTCTGTTATCTATTTTTGTATGTAATATGCAAATACGTATGCATAGAATAATAGAAATATTATGACAAATTGTAAATAAGGAGAAAATTAAGATATAGATTATGGAGTAAAGAAATTATGAATTTTTAATATGGAGTAAAGAAATTATTAGTTTTTAATACTTAAAGATTAGGAAATTCCTATTATAAATTTGGCCTTGAAAATATTAATAGCGGATATTCAATACATTCTTGTGGATTAGGGAATTCCCGTTTTTAGTATTTTTTTGAAACTATTTAGCGGGTAGGTACTTGTATTATGCATATTGTTCTACCATATTCATGGTAATTCATTGCAAGCAAAATGTGTGACCATCATCTCAACATACAAATGAAATACGCAGCATGCAGTGTTGCGCGGTGTTGCGCAGTCGAACCGCACAAATATTTACGAACATTTTGTGAAAAGGAATGCAGAAAAACTAGACTCGAGTTGCTGGACTCTTTTTGACCGTGTGAATGCCCAGAGCGACACCAAAAGAAAATTTGAAAAAGATCAGACTCTTTTGCATCCCTGTCTGAAACGGCACTTACTAGTTTTCCGCAATTGCATTTCTGTTATGATAGTTACAAGCAACAAATACGATTTTCTCAGTGGTGTGCAGTGTGGTGAATAGTGGCCACTTGTCCTTATCGAGAGGTGGATTATGCGCATATTGTGCGATATTTGGCACATGCTCAGTGTTTGGAAAACAGCAAAAATTCATATGATTATAAAAACCGGAATTTAATGGAAAATAAGCATATTTACTCATTCATTGTGCCATAATAGCGTTTTCTAGTGTATCTAACTGATTGAATTTATATGCATAAAGTACTTATAGGATTCCTTACTGCAGCAAATTGGTGGCGCCACACCCTTTTTAATACCTCCTAACAACAAATGACGAGTCAGAGACCCTGCCAAAAATCTTCTTTGGCGACAGCCTACTTCATAATAGTTTGTCAGTAATATATTTATTACGCCTCAGAATTCAATGGAAATTAATTTAAAAGTTTAATAATAAATTTAATTTGTAATTATAATATATAATTTAGTTTTTAGTTAAAAAAAATTCGACTTGCAAAGCTTTTGTAAATATTTTTTAAACTGAATTTAATTATTATTTTTTTGGTTTAAATATTTTAAACAAATCTTAATCCAATAATATTTAAATTTAATTATGTCTTTTCATTATTATGTTTCTATTAACATGATATTAATTTTTTTTCAAATTTGGACTGATAGCAATTCATTATTTTGGTTCTTGTCAAATTTTTGAAAATTTACGTTCGGTACACTAATTAAAACCAAAACGCTGCTATTTATTTAAAATTATTCCTTTTAAATTATAAATTCGTAATATTCATTGATTTTATTTTATTTTATTTATTTCTTATTTTAATAATTTACTTAATCAATTATTGTTTTGTATATAATGAAGGAAATACTAATTTATTCAAAATTTGTCTTATTTTAATATTTATTCTTTTGTGAATTTTGAATTTCATTTAATATTTTTATTTTTTTGGTATTTTAATTATTAATTTAGGTTATTATTTTTCTGATTTATTATATGTTGTAAACTTTGCATACATTATATTAATCTTGCTTTACATTGCGATAAGTTAATTTTAGCCAGGAAGCATTTCATTCCAATTTCCGCCCAAAAGTGATTGACCAAGGCGAAGCTACACAGGAGTGATCAATCAATCGATTACCAGCCCAACGCGATCTTTTACATACCAAGTGGCATCGAGCTAAATGCATTTTCTGGCAGACAAAGAAAATTCCCGTGCTTTAAAAATAAAACCATATACAATTAAAAAATGAGATAACAAAAACACATTCTTCTGATGAGTATACAATCTGACTGACGCTGAGGTTTATTTTAAGAACTCAAGTGAAGGCTAACAATGCTGAGTCTTAAGTTATAAGAAGACAATGTCAAGTTTAAAACAATTTTTCACAATAATACTTTATTAATTATTAAGACATTTTGCGAATATATTCTTGGAACTATAATCGATGGTTATTATGAGTACCTATTTACACACACAACTTCATAAGGAAACAATATAGCTTAGTGACAGCATTAAATACATAAGCAATGACTGCAGGATTGCACACCCTGTATACCACTTAGATCATCATTAGCCAATATAAAAGACCAATAAACTTTGTGCCGGCAAAAATACACCAAAAAAAAGAGAAGCAAAATATTTTTCAGCGCTTTGCAATTTTCCTAACATTTTGGACAGTTTAATCATTAAAATTTCGCAAACTTTTTCGTTTAACGCTGTTTTTGCTATTCTATACTTGTACCTCTGAATTCTGGTCATTACTCATGACAATTGAAAGGAAAGTAAAAGATCAGTTAATACATAGTGCGCACATAACACATAATAACTAACAAGTATCCCCAAGTCATCATCATATTGCCGGAATGTATGAAATTTCAAATATAATGTATGAGTTTGTGTACACACACTAACAATATAGACACGTAGTTGCCTATATACGGGCATGATGTACTTATTGTGCGCAATTCAACAAAATCTATGTACACAAGCACGCACATATGTATGTATGTACTTGTGGTATGCCATGGATAGTAAACGTAGCTGGAACATGGATATAAATTTTATATGTACCATATTTTGTGTAACATCATTTGCCATACACTTCATATACAACAGTAATGCCAACAACAAGTAGTCACTTTTATATGTATATGTAAATATGTATATTTAAGTCTCTCTGCGGGCTTAGGTCGAACTGTGCTCCTAAATTCCTTATTCCTCTTCTCATAGTCTATGTACCATACACTACAAAACAGAAACAATGGTGTTATTGCAAGTTATAGCAAATAGCAAATTAAAGAAGATTTTTATTTATTCTTCGTAGTAGGCTTCGAGCTCTGAACAATCGCATACGGAGCGGTGCGAACGCGCAAGCACACTTAGCTACATCCAAATCTATTGCCAATCTGCCTTGCCTTCTATACTTATATGTACATATGACGCGCAATATACATACTTACATATAAGCACCTAGTATAATTTTACTTTACTGATTCATCTTATCTTTTTTAGATATTACACAGGTGTACATACATTACCCACATACAGTTGGTGGCATGAATAGAAGGATTTATATGCAGTTACACATGTGTAAAAATGCACTTGACTGATATAAAGTTAGCATGATGAAATAAATGAATATGCACTGATTAGTTATTAACATAGGTATATGTGCATAAAACATAGTAATATGAAAATCTCAGAGTGAAACCAACTGGACCGAATGAATGGCATGCTTGTGCGTGTTGCCGTGCAGACAGCCCACATTTACCCGGCCGCCTTTAAGCCCGCTCACGACTGCTTGTGAAAGGCAGTGCCAACCGACTGAGGAAAGAAACGTAAAAAGCAATATATAATTTAAAAAAAAAAGCGAAAAACAAAGAATTAAAATAAAATAAGAAAACATTAAGTGAGTCATATGCCGGTGACGGTTTTGCTCAATCGGCATTACTATGCAAATGACAATTCATATTGCAGAGTAACTATCAATGCCGGAATGGCATACAGTGGGTGATAAAAGCATATAATATACAAAAACATGTCTAATTATTACATACAAAAATAGCGAAAAATGCAGTTAAGCTTTATTGCGTTTGCCGGTCGGCACCTGACTTTAACCTTGCGGCTCCCGCATTGAATGTGTGAAGAAAAGTATGTCAATGCAAAGAAAATGATGGCAAAAGAAATTGCCATTTCTTTGCTTATCTGGTTCTTCCATAATGGCATTGGTTAATTCAGCAAGGATAAGTGCGAATACAACTGGTTAGAAACATATGACATCATTTCTACAAATGAGTTAACACTACACACGATATATTGTAGTATATGTATGATGAATTGGCTTTGTGTATTGTGGCAAACGTGGCTGAAATAGCGACGACAATACCAAAAAATCAACGCAAAGTAGCCGACAAAATTTAAATGAAATTAACAATTAAACAAAGATGTATGAATAGTTACGAAAATATGAGTAAATACGTATAAAACAGTGTGTATATAAATTAACATACAATGCTTGTGCGAACGCAATCATTAAAAATGAGTGACTCACAAAATTGTTATTAAAAAAAATCAAAACATATAGCAATATGTATTCAAAAAATATGCATATTTTTCCAGTTTTCCCTATTCATTCAAGCACAAGACAAGCGAACAATCTAATTAGAATATTATAGTTTACTCACCCAATCCATATTTGTAGAATATTTCTTCGACGGAGACAATCTTTGGTTGATCCAAATGTTGATGAGATGGCTTGCTCTCCTTTGGAGGAACTGGTGGCGCTGTTTTAGGTTTGACTACTTCAGTTGTATCTTTGTTGTATGTTGTAGTCGAAGCGAGCGGCTTAGCAGCAAAAGGTTCACTAACTGCGGCTGGCTTGGGTGCAGCTGCAGCTGTGGCACTTGCTACGGGTAACGTTGCTGAAGATGTTGCCTTATTAGTGTTGTCAGCTTCTTTAATTTCTTCGATTTGAGAGTGTTTGGGTTGTGAAAGTAGTGATGTGGCTTCCTCTTCTGCGTCTAAATCAGTGATAGGCACCGAGGCGGTTGCTGTTTCAACCTCAGCCGCTGGTTTGGTAACCTTTGGTTTAACTTGGAAGTCAGGGGTTGAAGTTCGCTCGTCTTTGAAATCACCAAGCAAATCTTCAGAAGATATAAATTTGTCATTATCCTGTTCTTTTAATGCAGCCGTTACTGGATTCTTCTTTGCCGGTGACGGATTGCATGACAAAGAAGGAGAATCAGTGTCCGAATCTTTGTTGGAGACAGATGCAGAATTAAAAGATTTGCCAATTTCAAGATCATCATCATATAGCGTTGTAGTAGTTGAAGCAGGTGCAGTTGGTGCAAAGTGTATTTCAAAATCTTCTTCGAATGGTTGCAATGGAGCATGTTTTTCAGCCGCATCACCGACACTAAAATTTAGCAAATCAGCTTCCTTAACTGCATCCTCAGCAGGTTTGTTTGGTGTAACCGGAACTGCTGTAGGCGCTGATACCTCAACAGTTTGTTTGTTTATGTCACCGGCACCACTAAATAGGCCACGTTCCGCGTTCATAAAATCGTGTACTCCCTGCTTTGTGTCATGTTGTAGTTGTGATCCAAAGGAGTGTAAATCCTTGGATGCATTGGTCAGAAAATCATCAAAATCGTGTTGTGCGAATTTGGCATCCAATTGCTCCTGCGCCTCCTTCGCACCGGCAGACATACGCTGTACGAATGCTTGGGGGTCAACCTGTTCAAAATCAATGCCCTTTTGTTCGTTGGCGAAGTAGTGTTCTGTGTGTGAATTATCATCTTGTGCGCCCGTCGAAGCACGTCCACCGCCTCCACTCAACAAATCATATGTTGCATTTGTTGCTTGTTTAGCTACATCTGCAGTGTGAGAGAAGACATCCTCTGCAGTAGCAGCTGCTTCCTTCTTCAAATCGGCAAAATTAAAATCCATTTTGTTTTAAATCAAATTTGGACTGAGTTAAATTTAAATCACTAACAGCTTGTCGTTAACTATTTTCTAATAGTCAATTCAATTTTTTCTCCAATTTTGACTTTTTACGTATATATTCAAATTTTCCCCAGTGGAAAACTTTTTACTTTCTTATTAGTCAGACTTTTGCGTTCCAGAATTGTTTGTAGTTATCACAATTTTACTTCATTTGTTTTGTTTTTGACACACTGAGACAATTCTGTGAGTGCCACTTTAATCAGTTTTTTATATTTTCACTGCAAATCAATTTTAATTTTTTCTACTAACTCACGGTATAAATTTTTCTCCAGCTCACTCGCCCCAACGTTGTTGCAATTTCAAGAACAAACTGCAAATGAAACACAAATGTAGAGGAAGTACATAAGATTTCTTGCAGCCGGGGTGCTCTTTACTGCCCACTGGCGATGACACTCTTTGTTGCTTTCTCGCTTTAACTCGCGTATCCAAAAAGTTTGCGTCTTCCTCTCCAGTAGCGCAGTCGGTCAATTGGAATGAATTTCTATTACTATTTTTATATTTACCTTGTATGCAGGTGAAGTCTAAAGCGCTAAGGTTTGGTACTCTATACTTCTTAATTGAAAGAAATTGTTTATTTCAACAAAGCTGAAAATCTTCATTTAAAAAATATTTTAAACTTTTACGAAACTTTTTTGTGCGACCGAAAGCTTTTCTTACGCACTTCCTTTTTGTTTTGGAAATTCATGGAAAAATTGTACTCAGCTGTTTGGAAACCAGTGTGCTAAAGCGTTTTTCTTGTTAAAACGTATATTTCTTATTAGCCGTATCAGAGAATGTAAACAGAGAACGTAAATGAATAGAGAAGGAGCAAATGTTAAATGAAATCTTTTTGAGTACTAATTTGTAGTTTCAGATGAGGGAACATCGAAAAATATAACTTCGAAAAATAAAAATACACCACGCAATGTGCGAAATGCTATAAATAGACACAACGAATATTCCTAAATGAAAAATCGTTGCGCATACCTATTTAGATTTATGTTTTCAATTTCTATGATATGACAAATTTATAATTATGAAAAGCCTTCTGAATTAAAAATCTGTATTACCGGTGAATACCCCAGAATTCATAATAAAATAAACATTTAATAGGCAATTTTTCCAACTTATGTATGTGCGTTGCGTGAGTAATTGCTTATTCATTTACATTCTCTGATTTAATGAAATAATTCATTAACATTCTCTGACTTGTCCATGGCATCGGAATAATTGTTTTAGCAACATTATTTCAATTGGATTGAATCCAAGGATGACATTATTTGTAGTGCATTTCATGTATTTTATTTATATCAATACAATACAAGTAGAAATCTATAATATTTTTAAGCTGAAAAGGAAAGAATCAATTGAATATTTTAAGTAGACCTTTTAAATTTTTTATGTTGTTGATTTAAGTTTAAATGAAAGCATAATATCTTAAGGATGTTGTGTCTAAAATTCAAGTCGATTGGAGCAAAATCGACAAATTTATAATTATTTTTTAAGCTGTTTTTATGAGCGTTTTACACCTGATTTTAAAACTTTAATGATTTTCCCCAACAAATCACATTTTCAAAGCTGGTGCCTTCATAACTTCAAAACTACTGCCCCGATCATTTTGAAATTTTTAACGCTAATTTATGTACATCATTTGTAAGGCAACGCCGCAGGGTTATTTGAAAACTTATTAATAATTTTTATTCACAAAAAAAAAATTGCGTTATGATTTCAAAGTGTTCCTAAAAAATGGAATATTAAAATTTTGAAAAACCCTCTCAGCGTTACCTGGGAAGAACTATTATCTAACGAATTAGCCCTGATTCTGCAATTTCGGATAATAATAATAAACCCTCGATTTTAACGAGACATATTCGAATAATTACTGCAATTGGCGAATTTTTTAATATTTATTCACTTAAATTTTACATAACATTCTTCGAATTTTTAACTTTAATTTACCGTTCATTTTAACCCAAGCCTACTAGATTATTTAAATTTTATTTTTATTTATACGGTATTTCTTTTTCCATCATAATCAGAATATGGATTATTAGTTTTAAAAAAATGCATGTTTTTTCAATAACGTGATTCCTTACAGTATAAGTATTATTTTATTCGACTTTTCCATAAAATTTCAATTTCACTTATTGCAATGGGTTGATATTGTGACGAACATGGACGATAGAACAAAATCGAACAGACAACAAATTTTCAGAAGCAGCTAGACAGCGAATTCATAGTTGCCAGAATGTTTAAGAGGCGAGGGTTGCCAAATTGTGCAGCACACAGAGTTCTAGTTACAGTGTTGTCGAATAAGAGCAATTGAGACATAAGCAAGAAGTGGTAAGCTCGAATAACGAGCTATAAGTGTTAAGTTGTTGGAATTAAAAATAAAGATAAGTATATAACCATTAAATTGGGACTTTTATTTAACAATCCAGTGATCGAACTCAAGAGTGAGTTACAAGAGAAGAAATCCGTTACAATATGTAACTTTCTGTGGATCCCATTCGCAATCATGAGAATTAGAATGTTGATTTTCTTGCGTACTCCATTTATACGTACCGGCATTTCAATCCTCCCTATTGTTTGTAATTTGGAAGCACTGATGGCGTGATAAATTGTTTATACAGTTTTTTCATTCACACTCATTGTCAGAACCGTTGCTTATTGTTGTGTGAAAGCGAAAATGCGGAGATGCGATAATGGAAAGTAGGCATTCAATATTGGAATATATTAGAATTAGTGTTAAGAAGAAAGCAGAATGGGTAACTTATATGGTGAGAACAGTGGAGTTGTTCAAGAACACCAGCAAAATAGTGATTTTGTTAATTATCTTAACAAAATGCAAGGAAACTTAGTGCCGGATATGCTTAGCTGTGATAATGGAGATCTTCGTGCACGTAAAAATGGGCTCAAGGCTAATGAGACAGAAGCGGTACCAATTAATGGTTGCCTAAAGGTAGAGTACCACGGATATCTTGAAACGTTCATTTTGATTTCGATTAGTTTTTGGCCTCATTACGGTGTTACTATCGTATAAATCGGCAAAAGTAAAATTTATAAATTGAGTGTAGATAACTGTGTACAAGTGATCAGTAACTTATATACACGATAGTATGTGATATGTTAGTCGTTGATTTATTTGCTCAATGTGGCTAAAATGTGTGAATATGCGCGCTTTTACATGTGCTGGAATAATGACGTGAGATTGCCTTGTATGTTTGCATATGTATGTCACGCCCTTCAATGCTATTCCGTAATTAAGAATTTAAAAAAGGAAAAACAGTGGAATAAAAGTTTGAAGGTATTAATTATCCACCATAATTTTTTGAAAATATATGTGTGTTTTTATGCGGTGGGTTATTTTTATGAATTCAAATATGCTTGTCTTATTGCCTTCTTGTTGTTTGGCGCTTTCCTTTGCCGTCTTGTCTTTCTTCATTGCTTGAAAAGATACACGAAAGTTTCATACTGGATCCCATAGTTTTCTAACGATTTTTAAAAATTTTTTGTAAATTGTTTGAATTTTAAAAATCGTTAGAAATCTATAGAATCCGGTGTGTTTTCTCCACCACAACACAAAAAAAACATCCTATTACATTTTGATTAAAAATAATATATAAAATAAAACCGCCGGTTATATTGCAGCTACTGATTGTATGAGTCACTGAAGCGAATTCCCACGAAAAAACCAGACAATGATTACTCAACAGTTTACGTATCGCGAAAGCGTCAATCTGATAACAGCTCAATTTAAAGATAAGTTTTACAATGTGTAAAATATAAAACTTCTTATCTCGAGTCAAATCCACTACAAAGATACGGGCCTTAATTCTACGTGGTCAGGTGTTCTGGGATTTCCGGTTCCATGTCACAGAACCGGCAGTTTACACAAGAGACTAAGCCCATGTTGAATACATAATTATTGAGTCTGCAATGCCAGTGTAGAATGCGACAAGTAGCCGGAACTTGTTCCTTGGGAGATTGATTACATTTTTAAACCTTCTGAGGTCTTAGCCTCCCAGCTTTCGTCACTTAGAGCCTTCATTTGTTGGGACGAGATTACCTTCCCTTTGCCAAACCCTTCTGCTGTCATTTGCAGCAGAGTCTGTTTGGCTGTCTGCTTGATCACTATATGTGGTGGTGTGAGTTCTAGCATTACTTCCAGTGCTGCAGTCGGACACGTACCCATTGCGCACGACGCGCAGATGCAGGCAAGTCGTTGCAGCTTCGATAGTTAAGCCCTACCGAAGTTTACGATGCGCTCCATATGATCGGTTTTACAATCATGGTGTACATCCATCTGATAATCCTCGGGTTGCAGTCCCAGGATTTCCCAGCAAGTCGATTGCACATCATGAGCGCTTTCGTAACTTTGACTAAGGTCAGGTCCACATGCTGCTTCCACCGTAGAGTGGAATCCAGCGTGGGGCTATAAATATGATAACTTACGTTAAAAGAAAATTGTCGTTTTTTTATTTTAAAATAAACCAATGTTTTAAAATAAAAAGAAGTGTCCTTAGTTATGGGACCATTAGTACATATTTATATGTCATAAATATACATGCAATTAAATATTTTTAATTACTTTGTGATATTGTTGCCAACAAATAACAGAAATAGATATTTGTTTTACATACAAGTATCCCACATTCCGACGATCCTATCAGTTTAAATTTTGTAGATACATAAATGGAGATTATGAAATTTAATAATAAATAGAGAAATTTCTTTTTTATAGACTTGCTCCACTAACTCCACGACCTGTCATCAAGCGAAAGATAAATTATGCCTTAAAAGCAGTCAACCGTTGCTCACGCCAGCAAAAAAGCTAAAAGAAATGGCTGCGGAGCATACCAGCAAAACATCATTCGAGGAAGTACCGCTCCATACTGCCTGCCTCACATATCTTGGCTTCTATTTGCTTATGATACTCGGCTATATAAACCAGTTGCTTTTCGTGCCGAAGGTCGCAAAAGAAGAAAATCGTGAAGGCTACGTAACACTCTATGATGCCTTTGAGAGTTTCTACTCTCGTTATGTATATCGACGTGTGCGCGATTGTTGGAATCGTCCCATATGTAGTGTACCTGGTGATGAGGTGACACTGAAGGATCGTGTAACGAAGGATTATGGATGGAGTTTTCAGTTTACTGGTACTGAGACACGGTGTTTAAACTTGGGTTCATACAACTATTTGGGTTTTGCCGATGCCAAAGGTCCCTGCGCGGAGCAATCTGAAAAGACCGCACGCGACATGGGTTTAGCTATGACTTCGCCACGTGTAGAGTTGGGTACAACACAACTGCATTTGGATTTGGAACGTTTGACCGCACGATATTTGGGTGTAGAAGATGCGATCGTATTTGGCATGGGATTTGCCACAAATGCGCTCAATTTACCGTCACTCATTTCGCCGGGTTGTTTGGTCTTAAGCGATGAAAAGAATCACGCTTCGATTATTTTAGGTTTGCGGCTGTCTGGCGCTACTACCAAAGTGTTTAAGCATAATAATATGCGGGATTTGGAACGTGTATTGCGCTACAATGTAGTGCATGGCAATACAAAAGCAAGTGGTCAACCATGGAAGAAGATCTTAATTTTGGTGGAAGGTGTTTTCAGTATGGAGGGTTCCATTGTGCGCTTACCAGAGATTATTGCTTTGAAGAAAAAGTACAAAGCTTACTTGTATTTGGATGAAGCTCACAGCATTGGTGCAATGGGTCCGAATGGTGGTGGTGCCGTAGATTATTTCGGCGTGAACCCTAAAGATGTCGACATATTGATGGGTACTTTCACGAAGAGTTTCGGTAGTGCTGGGGGCTATATTGCCGGTTCAAAGGTAAGCACACTTGTGTGTGTGCCATTCAAAGTGTTTCGTGTTTGCTAAGCCTGCGTTGTTTGCGTTATTGTTTTTACAGCTTTTAATCGACTTTTTGCGCACAAATAGTCATGCACATTGCTATGCTAGTAGCATGTCGCCGCCCATTGCCCAGCAAATCTACACTTCGTTGAGTATGATAATGGGAATTGATGGCACCAATACCGGGCGTCAAAAGATTAATCAGCTGGCGCGTAATACACGCTATTTCCGTCGGCGTTTAGCACAAATGGGTGTAATTACCTACGGGCATGAGGATTCGCCGGTAGTGCCCATGTTGGTTTACTTGTTTTCAAAAATCGGGTAAGTTTCGACTACATTTTTGCGTGCGGTGCATTACCATAATTAACTGATTTGTGATTTATCATTACAGTGCCGTTGTGCGCACATTGACAACACGCCATATCGCTGTTGTGGGTGTTGGTTTTCCGGCGACGCCAATCATGGAGGGGCGTATACGCTAC